GTTTCGTCTGTTGACCTTATCCAACAATCTTCCCATTTTCCTAATCTGTATTTACTATCACAGTTGCCGTCATTACACAGATGTCATGAACGATTATTTTATTTTTGTAATGAGGAAATAGAAAAAAATACCCCGTATTATTTATGAAATACTTCCGTTAAGCTTAACAACGAAAACACTCATTTAATTAGCAAATGTTATAGCATGATGAGGGGGGAGATTTCAACGAATGAAAAACACGGGAGAAATTGGGTTTATGAAACTGTTCTGTTTGGCACTGATGCGGTTAATTGTTTCATTTCAAATTGTAATTTGACTTTTATAACAGACATATTCTTATGAATACCAGTTGTTAGGCCATCATGTATTCCACCCCTGAAAAACACTATAACATATCTAATGGAGAGTGTCAGTGGAAACTTAAACTTTAATAGTACTCAAACAAATGCTATAGAATATGTCTAATAATCAATTATAGATAGTTACTATTTTCAAGTCCTCTGAACAGAAACAGCAGTGTGAATGCAAATGTGGCGGTGTGTGTTGTGAGTGTTGTAGAGCTACAAGCAAAATCTTCGTGTGTGTGTGTGTGTGTGTGTGTGTGTGTTGTAGAGCAACAGCTTCGTGTGTGAGTGTGCGGAAACGAGAAACAGCGAGCTTCCCTAGTACGCTATTCAATAGCGATGGATCAATGAGCAGATGGCCGATAACATCGCTAGGCAAACACTGATAATTCTAACAAACAACTGGGTTGCATCATACATATGATACTCTAACAATGTAGACAAAGCGCACAATTTGTCACACATAGATTGATTCAACTACAACGTGTCAGGCCATTCGTGCATGTAAACATCAACGCGTGGTAAATATCAAAGTAGATTTGATCATTTAGCTATCATTCATACGAATAGAAGAAAGTACTGATAAAGTTGTAGTAAACTGGCAGGAAATAAAATACCGAGGATACATTATGCTGTTAAACTTTATTTTCATTATCAAATATTTATAATTAAGTCAAATATTGGTTTGTTTGTTTTCATCATAAGGAAATCACTGTAACAAAGGCCAACATAAAATGTAGCACAACGTTTTTATAGCGATGATAAGGAAGGTATTTCACAGGAATATTCGTGAAGAGAGCATTCATAATTAATTTTAGTTCGGCATATATATTTTAAATGAGTAAAATATAAACTTCAGTTGGAATGTTCATTAAATGTAATTTTAGAAACACCTTTGATTTTGTTATAAATTGTCTTGTGCATACATAGCGAAGGGTGGATAGCATTTCGAACAAAGGAATATAACGAGAGTATTCAAAACAGCCCCACTATCATGTTGACAGTTCCCGGATACACTGACACCGTGTTGTTTAGATACAGTTGTGACGGAGGGGAATATCGATGTACCTAGGGTGAAACTCCATCATGTTTCTGTTTTAAGTTTGATAAAAGACGTTTACAAAATACTTTTGTGTCTTTCTGTCTATTTGCCATCTGGGTCGCGCACCATTAGACGGCGTCATGGTTAATTACACTCTGGTGTGCCCAAACCCGCCACGTTTCACTTACATCGGGTACAGATAAATTATACATCTTCATTAAACCTAATTACTGGCAGTTGACACTGAACCTTCGACTGGATGGGATGAAGCATCTACCTCATCAATGTACAGACGTACTCATCCCAATATCGACGTTGTCAAACACATAATCATTTATTTACATCATTGCTATATTATCTCACACAACTGAAAATATGTCTGTTTGTACAGTCATAAAATCAGGAGAATAGTTTAATGACAACTATGATGTGATTAAGGTTTTTTCGTTAGGTTCAGCGAGTTAAAGACCATAATTTTAACTTATTAAATGTTGGCAATAGGGCCAATTAGTTGCAGAGAATGGGTTGTGGATTATAGTAGCTGAGGTTGGAGAACTGATTGTGAATGTGAAGCGTAAAACGCTGGGAACTAGTAAACGTCCACACCAGTGAATATTGTGTCTCGTGTATCCGGCGATACACTTTCCACTGGGCGCACAGGGCCTAAAGGTGGTGAAAGTTATATGGATGGTTCACTGAAAATCATATAGCATATTACATGTATGTTCGATATTGTTTTAATGTGAAAGGACTAATTTATCAATTTAAAGTTTATTTTCCAATTTGAAGTTAAAAACAAAATGTGAAATCCAGACACGGGACCCTTCCTCGCTGCCAACTCGGCTTCTAAATGCGACTTAAAGATATCGTTGATTGTGCTGTGAAGTCTTTCGTTGTCAAAAATATGTTCGCTGATACTGGAGAATAGGAATACCCTTCGTCCAAATATAAAAGGTGTCGGTAGGTGTGAATGTTGTTTTTGTATCTTGCAAGAAATTGTAATGTATATAAATACTATGCACTTTCTCGGTATGATTTCAGTGCAGTTGAATATGTAAATATCATTTATGAAACGTATGAATATATTAATTTCCGAATGACTTGGTTAACTAAATAATAGCATAATTAAAAAATAGGAAACAGAGACACACCTAAAGCCGAAATAACATCCCCGCCTTTCCCCATGACATTGCAAATGTGGTCACCTTGTTGGAGTCAGTGGTGGTTGTCCTGTGATATCTTCGCACCTACTCTTTACACCATTCACATCACCATCGCACACAAACTCAGCTAATTAAACAAAACATTGTCTAAACAATCTACAAAGTCACGTGACTGTTTGTGAATTCAATGGTGAAATTTTAAAAAGTAATACTGTCATTACTATTACCCATTTACGCGTTAACCATAAGACAAGCGCTTTTGTGGGAGATGAAAGTTTAAATCAGAAGCAGGTTGTCAAGTTCGCCTACATTTCTCAGCCGTGTCAGTACCCGAGGCTGGCTACAGCCGCGTTAATTATGTATGGTATTAATACAAGTGATCGCTCCTATTAGGATTTGTATCAGGAGATCGGAGGGATGAGAGAGTGTTCGGATTCAGACCAAATATGTGAATATGACATTTATTGAGGTTCATATCAATATAAGAAACACAACTATACTGGCATTATCTAGTTTGTATTATTAAGGGATAAAATATAACATTTTGGAAAATTTATGCAGTTTTCTTGTGACAATAATTCGGTCGTCTCTGCGTTGGGAATGTACTGGGTTAAATATGAATTATTAATATTACAATTAGAAACATATGTAGCATCGGCCTTTCTTGTAGTTTTAGACACCTGTTGTCTCTAACTGGTGATAAATTTAGATTTTCGTAATACGTCTGATAATAATGTTTTAAAAAATATCAATTGCGAATAATCTCCTTGGCAGAAGTTCTGCCACATCAAATTGACGGCTTCCAAGTCGGCTCGCCCTCTCCCGCCCGTCCTGACTACGTTCCCAAGCTTCGCTTCTTGGTCAACTTTCGACATAGTTACTGTTAAAAACTCACAACGTGAAGATGCTGAACAGATGTTTTTTCAAAACAAAACGTGAATCAAATAGCACAGTTTATGATACAGCTAAAATACCTGTCACGGATGAACATGTGGGCACATGGCACCTAACAGCTGGATGAATATAGCATTGTTGTCATCAACACCGACGTTACCATGAATATACTTATATATATATATATATATATATATATATAAGTTTATTTAGGTGCAACACATATGTTTTTTGTCACTCACTGCGTATTACTTGACAAATTGTATTCACTATAGATATAGTATTTCATAAATGTATGTCTTGATTAGACAGTATCAGATTCTATACCAGTGTCGCCTATTTCTCGCCTTTGACACCCACAGCCTGACAGTTTACTGTTCAAACAGTATTGCTGTATCTGTATGTAAGTATGTGTTGCCATTGGCCTCGGGTTGTACACCTGTAACGGACAATCAACTGATACCCATCTCGTGACTCCCTAACCCCCAGGCTCCCCACAGCCTACACACGTCCTACAAATTATATCATATACAAATAGCTTATTGAAAATGCGATAATATCTTCATTTTGATAATTAGAGTTAATTAGTTCGTCGGAAAATGAATTCATCTTATTTGGAAATATCTGTAGCGATACGTAGTATTTTATACATGATGAAAAACTAAAATTCCACAATCTGGCGTTATGATTTAGTTCCTAACTCTTTACTGTATCTTCAGCAGACCTTTATTTTTCTTACTGATATTTGAGAACATTGTGTTTTATATATATTTAAAACATATTTTTGTCCTCGCTCTCTCAGGCAATTTGTTGTTGTTGTTGTTTATTTTGACCATACGTTGGAAAGCATATGCGGATGGTTGGCAACAATTTCGTATGATTTGTTGATAGATTTCGCACAGCGTCTTGACATGCTAGTAAAACATTTTGTCTGTTTACTAAGCATATCTGATGAAATATTGTGAAAAATATCAAATTGTCAAACAAGAACACATCACTTGGATTAAATAAAATATGTATGTGTATTTGAAAGGAGTCATTATTTATATTTCCTCGCCCTCTGACATCCGGTAAACAAAGTAATTGTTGTAGCTAGCATCGCAAACATGTAACCATACTATTGACATTGAAATGTAATCCTAATTTCCGTCATGATACATTCAGTTTTACAACTTTAAGTAAAGGATTTGTACAAAAACGTAATGATTTATGATCAACACCAGTCTGTACATGTATGTAATGGCGTTTATATGGAAATTGATATCAAATATTGACAGTAAATATACCCTGTTATGTAGAATTCTCAAATTAGTGCAGTCGGGTGTGGAGGGTACAAAGTACATACGATACGGGTTGTTAGAGAGCTTCCGCGAAACACATTCTGTCCCATCACACCACCACTACACACGGATACAATCAACTCCACGCTTATATAAGATTTAGGAAGTAATAAGATGGCAAAATACTGCGACTGTGACGACGAGAAGTTACAAGATGACAATGTCGGTTGTAAAGGTTGAAGTGTTTGTTTACAGATGAGGCAAAGTAAAAACTGACCTTTCATATCTGCATCTGACGCTTGGCCGGGACTCAGGGATCCCTCGGGAGTGGGTGTGTCTCGCATGTCTTCGTGCGGGACCCCCGGGCTGCCTGTGACTGGGATCAGTCTCTCGGTCATCCCGTGGGTCGGGCTGGGAATACTGCCGTCAGAGCCGGAGTCGTCCACATCTACCAGTGTGTTCTCGTCAACGTCGCTGTCCATATCGTCGTGAGCGACCTGGTTCTCTGGCTTCGACATCATTGGGAAAATGGGGTAATGATTTATAGCAAGTGTTGAGGAAATGTTTTCAAAATTTCGCCTATCCCTGAGGCGACACTTTCGTCATCTGCACGTAAAACCTCTGTGTTCAGGATACAGGAGTACACCTGCACAGGTAAACGTTCACTTCAAATAAGCCGACAACTGTTCAGGTATACTGGTCAGTGTTGAGGAGATAAGTTCCAATAATGACCATCAATACTGGTATTGACCGAAGATGCTGATGACAGTTGCAGGTGCGTTGTTAATGCGCCAGCGTCCTCCTCCTTGTTATGTTGCCTGGAAGAAATGATGCTAGGCAGCCTATGTCACGAGAGATGTACACCTCGCTCACACCCCTGATTGACAGGTGGGCGGGGCCGGGAATACCGCGCTGTCTCCGTGAGCCGCTATTATCCACAACTGATTTGATTGGTCGTTTCGAGCAACGGGGCGGGCTTACTTAAATTCACAAGCGATCATTATGCATTTGCTTGAAAGAAGAAATTAGGAACAATCAGCCTAACCTGACGGTCATTTAATCCGCCAATAAAGCTTGTATTTCGCAACCAGGCCAAGAAATAAAGACAAGTTAACCTGGGTCAAATCTGAAGCCATGTGCCCCTTGAGCCTGTTTCCCGAAAGTCTTCATGGACCTTGAAAACTCATAACACACTCACAAACAATTTATGACTAAAATATTGAATAGTGGAAATAATTCGCTTTGTATAAAAGGCAATTACAAGGAATACAATAAGATTATTATAGTATGCTTGATACGATGATCCTAGTGAATCGCACACTATAAAAACTTGAACATTTGTATACAGGATCGTAAAGACAGTTAATGAGACCTCTTTGATGTAGCGGGTAGATGAAGCGCTACAGCGTCTCTCTGATTATTACCAGCTTCTGGGACATCACAGCACCTCGCTACTCCATCAATTCCTCCAGTTAATAAACGTATATTTTATAGATCATTTAACTTTAATATTATTCCACAATAAACGATTGTAAGTCACGTTTGAAGTCAACTATCGCAGTGGACATAAATAACTTAGCGTATCTGACAGTTGGTTATGAAAGCGTAGATTCCTATAGCAATGTTACCTGTGTAAACATAAAGATGATCTGTAGACCCCATTATAGGTTCTAGTTATTAGGTCAGGTAACAGGGCGACTTCAAACAGAGATACACTAAGCTCGCGATTACATCCCAGAAAAACAGACATCACAAATGTATAGATGGATCCTTAATGGGCAGTCATTTTAATTGGCACTCGGTTAAAAAGGGCAACTATTTGGTACAATTTGTAATCATAAAACTGAACGTATTTCTGATGACGCACATACGATGAAAACATCCATTCATCAGCCTCATCTGACACAGCGTGGTGATTCTGTTTGTGTTATTTATGCTATATTTCGTAGTCTTGTCATAAGTCAAAAAAGTTTTCAAATAGAAATGAAGATGTTATGGTTTGGTGACATTACTGCAGGTGATTGAAACTTAAAAAGAAGAACCTGCTGCATAGTTGCTGTATTTGTAGGGATGAGAAATATTTGTACAGGTATGAACTTACATGCTTTACATATTGTATGAAAGTTTCCCAAAGAAAATATTAGCCAAACTTGAACATTTTCGTTGCCTGGATGTCATTTCAGTTTTCCAACTCATGTCCATGTTTCTGACAACGGTTCTGCTGACAAGTGGTTAAACAGTTCCTTGTTTTATAACTGTTCCTCTTCTTCTAGGTTGAACAATAATCGTATATATTTTAAATATATTAAATTGGCATGTTGACTTTTTCACTTAAGTACAGCATTGTCACAGGTATTCACAAAAGAAACCCATATCAACGATTAGCTGTTCACAATATCAGTCCAAGTCCGTATCAACATACGTGACATAAACATAAATTATTTTAAATAATTTTTCTTAAGATAATTGTTATTTATGTGTCTCAGATTTCATACAGTGCACGACTTCTGTTCATTTCGCTGCCGTGAATTCGTTCACGTTATATAATATTCTGTACACAAAAATACACGATGAAAGAGATACCTCTGTACTTGATGAGACAGTAGATTTCCATGAATTATGATACTACATGAAGTTACTTTCAGAAGGATTTTAAGACTCAAATCTAAATACACACACCATTTAATTCAATGTTTAAATATATTCTCTGTATATGTATATCATTCAAAAAAAATCGACTAAAACAACTTCTTGTCATTTTAAATGTGATAAACGCGTGATATCGTCTGTATTCTTCTCACGCAAACCATTTTAAAGAAATATATTTTAAGAATGAATGAATGATTTTCAAGTGCAACATCTGTATTTATGTTACTGCTTTACTTTTTTATTTTCTTGGTTTTCTTTACCGAGCCTCAAATCAGAATATAAATATTTCGGTGAATGACTACTTCTCGAGCCAGTGTTGCTAGTTTGATGGCTGTTCGGTCCCTATTTCCACTACACTAATGGGACACAATTTCCACAGGGCCACGCCCAAACTTTATACCACAGTTACCCAATACCTTTCATAAAACGGGCAAACAAATCGGTAGATTTCTTTTCTAGAGTGGGTGGTGCCAAGTAGGGATTGATGGTACAGCGGTAAAGAATTGTGTCCCTAAGAGGACACAAGACGGTCACACAGTAGCCTGGGAACATGTCACTAGACAGTCACGGGTGTGGAAGCACCGGGTGTCTGGGTATCTAAGTGAGCCAGTGACTCACACAGTAACTGGGAACAAACCAGAGAGTGGCGGTTGTATAGAAGCACCGGGTGTCTGGGGTATCTAAGTGAGCCTAAGTGAGCCAGTGACTCACACAGTCACTGGGAACAAATCAGAGAGTGGCGGTTGTATAGAAGCACCGGGTGTCTGGGGTATCTAAGTGAGCCAGTGACTGTCACACAGTAACTTGGAACAAATCAGAGAGTGGCGGTTGTATAGAAGCACCGGGTGTCTGGGGTATCTAAGTGAGCCAGTGACTCACACAGTCACTGGGAACAAATCAGAGAGTGGCGGTTGCATAGAAGCACCGGGTGTCTGGGGTATCTAAGTGAGCCAGTGACTGTCACACAGTAACTGGGAACAAATCACAGATTGACGTGCTACTGCCATGCCGTCTGTTGTGCTTTTGTTACAGCGGCGGACATCTTCTCTCCGCTTCTGTTATGGCGGAGGACATCTTCTCTCCGCTTCTGTTATGGCGGAGGACATCTTCTCTCCGCTTCTGTGATGGCGGAGGACATCTTCTCATGTGCTGTTAACAGGCCAAGGGACTTGAAACAATTATAGTCAACACACATACTGTGCGCCCAGGAATATGAATACATTTATTTCACCGATGTAACATATTTTAAAATAATTACATTATTCTTGGTACGGTAAAGCGAATATATTTGTATACACTGCAAAGTAGGAAGTATGTTTACATATTTTCTGTCCTTGAGACCATGAGAGTTCGGACTATAGTTTAACACTCACTAGCTGTGTAAAACAGTATTGGTTTGTACACTGCGCAGAAATCCAATATAGATAAAACATGTAATACATACATTCTACCAGCACAATGACAACTCTCTGATACGCTGTTGTGTTATCCCCGAGCAGATTACATAGTAAATTATGATCTCATGTAAATTCATTTGGTTTTGAAAAAGATACAAACTAATTAAAGTATTATAATGCGATGTCTGTTTTAGTATTAATTGTTTTTAATGTTTTAAGTAAATTTCATGCATAAGGTCTCTCATAACCCACATGGGTGGCCTATATAAGAAATAAAACCAATGTATTTTATGTATTTTTACTATGTATTGTATCGGGTGAGACTTATATAAATAATCTGTAGTAAGAGAAACACTACGGTGTATAAGTTTCCTGCTTCATCAGGCCGTAAGCATATACTCCAAAACTTTGTGGTCCAGGTGTTAAAGGTGTTATCCATAAACTCCCTGCCTTATAAATGTCATGTATTTTTTAATAAACTTTAAAACACATGAAAACAAAATGTGAATGTGGTGCAGCACAGTCCATGAGCTTGTTATCTGCACGATACATACATATACATCTAATTGTCTTGTGGGCTTTACATGTGCCGTGCGTCCTTTGATACTGCAGCCTGGGTGAATGTTTATGCCTCCTACGTACATACTGTACATAGCACATACATACTGTACATAGTACATACATACTGTACATAGCACATATCTGCACATATTAGGTGTTAATAACTTAAACCTGTTCGTATCATACATCATGTATGTAGGGGTTATATTGTTCTTTATAAATTACAGTATTTTTCTGATATTAGATTTTTTAGGCAATAAAATTGCTGACAAAACCAGTGTATGAGAGCCATTGTTGGGTAGAGTATTATACATCAAAGCGATATTGTTTTAGTAGGATAGGGGTTAATAGCGCTCACCTCCACACAAGCTCAGCAGATTAACTTTTACGACTTTGCTTTAGATAGTTGAGAATTAGCGACTTGACTCCAAGCATGTAGTGAGAAGAAAGGCCGTGTTGTAGGGATATGACTATATTGCTTTGCTCACACTATCGCGGTTTGGTGTTATTTAGTCCCTAACATCAAAGGCTAAACGACTTCAGCAGTTGATCTGGTGTCCTTAAACAGGTATCATATAAGAGACGATTAGTCGCACAATTCTGTGAATAATCACTTGTCTTAGCTAACGTTGAAATTACAAAGGGAGAGGCGCCCAGTCATAACTATACTTTCCTATTACAAAATATATATGTTACTTTTTGCTTTGTACCGTGCGCTTGTTTACAGTGGCAATCACTTGTAACAAATATTAAAAGTATACCACTATCATGTATGAAAGAACCAAATGTTTCGCATGAAGCATGATTCTGGTTATGTAGCACGGACGACGGAGGCGTTTCATCTCACAACTGTTCGGCTAGTTGTTATTTCGAGTCGTCGACATGATCCTCTGATATATGGAGCTCCGATGAATGGCTTAGTTAACAATTTTAACCGTGCAACAAAGAGAGTTCATCATTTGTAAACACATGACGGGAGAGTGATTTCACTCACACAGCATCAGTCTATCTCCATCACGCAAATATTCATCACAGTTCCACGCCTCTCCTGTACCGACTGTAATGTGCCATTCAAAGCATACAGCTCTGATACTTGACTGAATAGTTTCAAATACAAAGGGGGTGAATTTCGAATTAATCGTGTATGTGACTTGTATGTGACTTGTATGTGACTTGGCATCCTGAAATGTTTGTATCATCATATCATGCAGCATATAACATCACTGTTACG